GAGGCTATGGTAAAACAAACATCCATATGCTACTGATGGAAATGTAAATTAGCATAGTAAGTATTTCAATATCCATTAACTTTTATATGAAAATCCTTTAAGCCTTGCATTTTCACTTGTTCTTACTTACATCACTAAGTAAGAAATGACCACTGATTCATTGGGAAATAGCAACTGATACTTAATGCACAAACTAAAGTTGCTGAATTATGGTTTATACCACTAGTATGCAGCTGTTAAAAAAGCTCAGGCATTATAAAAAATGCCCAGTTAAAAATAGCTGGGCATTATGGTGGGTGCCTGTAGGCCTCGCTATTTGGGAGGGTACAGCGAGAGGATCACTTGAGCCCAAGATTTGAGTTGCTGTGAGATGTGAGACCACAGCACTGTACTGAAGGCAAAGTAAGACTGTCTCAAAAAAAAGAAAACTTTCATAATTAGAAACAAAACACAAAACACCCACATAATACCCAATTTCTTAAACATTTTGAGTACCTTGTATTTATCCACAATTGGCAGCCTGATTGGTCCATCAATTGATCTATTGAAGTTTGGCAAATTATCCAGATATGGAATAAATGGTAATCCACTGAGAATATAACAATATCCATTTTAAAAAGTCAGCATAAATATAAAAAATTTTAAGTCACATAACTAACTTTAAACAAAAGACAACAATATTTTCATTCTACCCATGCACTTGCTCTTCTCATCCAACCAATTTATAACCCATTTCATCTCACTTATTCCTCAGAAAACTAAAACTGTAACAAAATAGCTCAGTACAAAGCTTCCCCACAAAGGTATTAACATTTAGAAAAATACAACAAACAGCCTACATGTTGTAATAAATTGACTATATTCCACTATTTAGTTTTTGTGGACTTTTCCAGCTCTGAAACCAAGATTCTATAAAGTAATTTCCCCTTTAAAACTACAATGTTTGGAGGTGGCACTCATACTCAGTGGGTAGGGTGCCGGCCACATACACCAAGGCTGGTGGGTTCAAACCCAGCACAGGCCTGCTAAAACAATGACAACTATAACAGAAAAATAGCTAGGTGTTGTGGTGGGCACCTGTTGTTCCAGCTACTTAGGAGGCTGAGGCGAGAGAATCACTTAAGCCCAAGAGTTTGAAGTTGCTGTGAGCTGTGATGCGACAGCACTCTATCCAGGGCAACAGCCTGAGACTCTGTCTCAAATAAAACAAAACAACAACAA